CCAGTCAGTAGATGCAGCGGCTCAAGAGAAAGACAGTGGTGTCTGGTTCTTGCTGGTGCAGGCACAGAGTAATCTAGATGCTTGAGAAGGTCTCTGGCATAAGGTCTGGGTCCAACACCAGCATCCCTCCCCAGGTAGTTTATTGGAATCATCTGTGGGGCTTTTAAGACAGCCAGATGCCCAGGAAGCACCCTAGACCCCCAGAAGCCAGGACTATCTTACACTGGTATAACCTCGTTAGAGGACAACTTGGAAATGTTTATCAGCTTTTAAATGTTCATACCTTTTAACTGGGCATTTTTGCTTCCAGATATTTATCTTTCAGATAGGTCTTCATGTTGTAGGTGAAACTATATACGCTACAATATCCATTACAATAATGTTTATAATAGTAGGAGACTAGGCACCGCCTAAATGCCCACCTGAATAAAACACTGGTTAAATGATGGTGTAGGCTTTAAAAGTGATGATGTAGAGGGTCAAAGGTAAGAGAGAGGCAAACTTTTCATTGTAAATCCTTTGCTCCCCATAAGAATTTTTATTTAAATTTTGGCCTATTTTTGAAGTAGGTAAGAGGTTGGGGCGCCAGAGTGGCTCAGTCGGTTAAGCATCTGACTCTTCATTTGAGCTCAGGTCACGATCTTAGGGTCACAAGATTGCCTCTTCCTTGCCCCACCTCCTGCCCCCCTGCACCATGTGCACATGCTCTCTATCTCTCTTAAAAAAAAAAAAAAAAAGAGGAATAATAAGGGGTTTACATTGTTTAAGACTCAAAACAATATGAAAAAAATGTACATTAAGAAGCTTTGCTCCTGGGATGCCTGGGAGGCTCAGTTGGTTAAGCGGCTGCCTTCAGCTCAGGTCATGATCCCAGCGTCCTGGGATCAAGTTCCGCATCGGGCTTCTTGCTCAGCGGGGAGCCTGCTTCTCCCCCTGCCTCTACCTGCCACTCTGTCTACCTGTGCTCACTCTAAGAAATAAATAAATAAAATCTTTAAAAAAAAAAAAAAAGAAGCTTTGCTCCCTCTCTTGCACTCCTATTCCCTACCTCCCTTCCTGTCAGTAAGTGGTGGTAGCCAGCCTCCAAGATGGCCACCAGTGATCCTCATCTCCCGGTAGTCAAACACTTGTATGGTCTCCTCCTTCACTGTTGGTCTGTGTGACCCATAGCATATGGAAAGAACCATGGCTTGTCACTTCTCAAATTAAGTTATAAGAGACTGTGGCTGCCATCTGGAGCCCTCTCAATCATTTCTTGGATCATTGGCTCTTGGGGAAGCCATGTTATAAGCTACCCTGTGGAGAAGCCCACATGCTGAGGAACTAAAGCCTCCTTCCAGTGAGGAGCTGAGTGATGTTGGCCAATAAAGATGTGAGTGAAGGGCGCCTGGGTGGCTTAATGGGTTAAGCTTCTGCCTTCGGCTCAGGTCATGATCTCAGGGTCCTGGGATTGAGCCCCGCATCGGACTCTCTGCTCAGCGGGAAGCCTGCTTCCCCCTCTCTCTGCCTGCCTCTCTGTCTACTTGTGATCTCTCTGTTAAATAAATAAATAAATAAAATCTTAAAAAAAAAAAAAAAAGATGTGAGTGAGCTCAGAAGCACATCCTTTAGCTCCAGTAGAGCCTTGAGATCACCACAGTCCCCGCTGACAGCGTGACCCCAGACTCATGAGAGATCCCGAGAGAGAACTCCCCAGCTGAGCCTCTCCTGGATTCCAGACCCCTAGAAACTGTGTGAGATAATGATTGTTGTTTTAAGCTACTAGGTTTTGGGGTAACTTGTTACACAGCAACAGATAACTGATATACCATTTTCATTAGTTTATTATTTATCCTTCATGTTTCTTTATGTGAGTAAAAGCAGATATAAGTGTATGTTTTTATTTCCTCCTTTTCTTACCCACACAAAAAATGTTGTACTCTATATACCCCATCTTCTGCCTTTTTTTTTTCTTCCTTCAATGATACTTTTTGAAGATTTCAGATCTTTACAGAGAGAACATTCTCATTATTTTTACAGCTGCTTAATTCCTTGTTGCCAGACACTTGGGTTGTTTCCCACTTGTCATTACAAACAATGCTGCCACGAATAGCTTGAAGTATATCCCTTCCTGTGGTGCCAGGTACCTGTAGGAGAGAATTCCTGAAGTGAGGTTCCGGGGTCAAAGGTCCATTGTGTAACTTCGGTAGATGATGCCAGATACCCCTCCTTAGGGGACATATCCCCTTTAATGTGTTTGAATTTTGAACCATTTGCCTGTTTTGCCTTTAAAAATATCTCTGCCGGTGATTCTAATGTTCACATGAGGTGGAGAGCTCACCACTGCTCTACAGCCAACCTATTAGATGCTCTAAGGGGACGAGGAGGGAAAAGATTAAAAACCCAAACTCCACCTGTGCTTTCAAAGCATGCACCCAGTTGGGGCACCTGGGTGGCCCAGTCGGTTAAGCAGCTGCCTTTGGGTCAGGTAATGATCCTGGGGTCCTGGGATCAAGCTCCATGTGGGGCTCCCCTCTGAGTAGGTAGCCTGCTTCTCTTTCTGTCCCTCTGCCCCTCCCCCTGCTTGTGCTTGCTCTTTCTCTCTCTCTCTCTCTCTCTCAAATAAATAAATATAAAAATCTTAAAAAAAAAAGCATGCACTCAATAAAATTTCGAACAGCTGCTAATGTGAACGAGCTCTCAGGAGAACTCAGAAACTCTGGGCTGGGAGCTGCTGTGATCGTACGTAGCCAAGGGTGACGTGGACAGTGGCTTTGGGCTCGGCAGGCTCCTGATGCATCTGGCCAGTGCAGGTGCAGACCACCATGGCTCAGGGTCTGTGTGGCAAGACTCAGCCACTCTTCTCCATGACGGTCTGAGACAGAGCCAGGACAGGGCATGGGGGAAGCTCCAGAAAGAAAGGGTGTGCTGGGTTGGGGGTGGGGCGAGGGTATCTGTCTGGATTATGGCTTGATAAGGCTGGCCTGAAAGAGTTACAGCTGTTTTATTATGTTGGAAAATGGAGTATTCTTAATATAAATTCATGGTGGGGAAAAAAATGCTCACCTCCACAGCCAGCCAGGTGTCTGTATTGTGGATCACTCAGTTGTATTTCCACTCAACACTATGTGAGGAACGACCCGAAGCCACTGGGGAATGTTCTGCATTAATAATGAGTCTAGATTGTGCCCGGAGAAGTCAGTCATGTTCAGAGCAAACACGACAGGCCAGCTCTGCTTTGACTCTCTTCTGCAGTTATAATTTTAGTTAACATAATATTTTCCCATTGTTCAAAGATTTTGGCAGCACATCTGCCCAAAAGAAGATGGGCAAAATTCCCTTCATGTTTGAAGGCTTACTTTACCATATGGCAATGCAATGTAGTTGGGGGAAAACATGGGATTTATTATCAGAAGATTCCATGTTGAGTCTGATGCTGTCACTTATTAGCAATTGATCTTGGCGAGCCATTAGCCTTCCCCAGCCTGAGTCTCCCAGTGAGTGAGAATAAGAACAGTTGCCTTGACTGATCCACAGGGCGGTTCTCAGGACTCCCCTCCAAAAAGAAATACTGCAAAAATGCCTTAGAAATAAGTGTATGGTCTGTGCCTGATTGTACAAGTGATTATGTACTTTGGAGCCTTGTTTTCATAACTTCAATGTGTATCCATTGTCAAATTCTCCTCCATCTGAAATGATGGCGTTGACTCAAAATTGTGTATTGTTCTTATAAGAAGTCACTTCCCCCGTGGCCTCAGTATCAGGCTTTTAAAATATCAGCTTGGTTTTCACAGAGTCACAAACAGAAGCCACCCCAGCACTGTGGAGGCAAAGCCCTTCTTTTTGCTCTGTCCTGCAACCTCGGGCACCCGTGCCTCTTCTCTCTTATCCATATGAAGATGGCCTCTGCGAATCAACCCATCAGCAAAGCTTGTAGGCTCTACCTTCAATATACAGCCAACAGTCTGACACTTGTCACCATCCTGATCGGGGCCACCGGGCTTCCTGGAAGAGGTTTCTCTCAGCTCTCCATGCTCTACCTCACCCACACTGAGTACGCCTTTTATGACAAAGCCAGTTCATGTGACCTCACTGCTCAAAACCCTCCAGGGACCCTTCTTCACTCAGATCCCACTGCTGCCCGTGAAGCCCATAGCGTCTGCCCCTTGCTGGCCTTACCGGCCTCGTCCCCTGCCAGGCTCGGTTGCGTGGGTCCCACCTATCTCTTTGCTTTTCTTGAAATGTGCCACACATGCTCCCACCTCTGCAGTTTGCAAATGCTGTTCCTTGCTGAGGGTGCTGTTCCATCCAAATACCACACACTTACTCGTCTCCTCAGGGCTCTGCTCAGGGGCACTGTATCTGCCTGCAGAATGGGAAATACAAGCCCTCCCCGGCCTGGGCACATTCTCTCTCCCTTCTCCTGCTTTTATCCACAGCCATTTCCCCGTCTGACATATTTGTTTTATTGTTTGTCTTTCCCCTTCTTCCCTCCCACACCTGCTGCCAAATGTAAGCTTCACAGAAGTGGAAATGGTGTCTTATTCATGGTTTAATCCCCAGAACCTAGAAGAGTACCAGACTCAGAGTAGGAATGCATGAAATAGTTGATGACAGCATGAGCAGATGAAGAACGGATTACCTAAGTGTGCCATGTACCTGCGTACATAGTAGATATTTGATAAGTTGGTATCATGGTTATACGATAGCCAACAAAGAGGCACTTATTTTCTAATATTTATAGACCATGTTATATCTCTCCTTCTATAAATCATCTTTCATGTGTTTTGTGCATTTTTTATAGAAATGATTTTATTTTGTGTACTCTTTATGTATGAAGAATTTTTTGCCCCTAGACATATTTTCTGTTTTGAAATTTGCATCGTGGGATAAGACAGTGTTTTAATTTAAGGTGTCTCAAATATCTTTTAAGATGGAATAAGTTACTAAAAAAAGAATGAATAAGTCAGTAATGTATGAACCATTTCCTTCTGTTTCTCTCACTCCAATTGGATTCCCAGAATTGGACTCCTGTGCCTTGGGGGACCACGGCTGTGAACATTCGTGTGTAAGCAATGAAGACTCTTTCGTGTGCCAGTGCTTTGAAGGGTATATACTCCGTGAAGATGGGAAAACCTGCAGAAGTACGTTTTTACTGGGGTTGTCTCACATGACTGTGTCTGACCTTTGCATGAATTCCACCATCCTGATCTCTGCTGAAATCAGTTCCCCTTGAAAGCTACTGCCCCATGACTATTAAATATAATGCGGGGTCCTGGGTGGAATTAGAAAAATGACATCAGGTTAAAAACTAAGGAAATGTAAAAAAAAGCCATGGACTTTAGTTGGTTTTAATGGATCAGTATGGTTCCACTGATTGTAACAAATGTATCACATTAATGTAAGTTACTAATTGGGTCTGGGGTTTATAGGAATGCTGTGCTATCTTCTCCTTTTTTCTGTAAATCTTAAACTTTTCTAAAAAATGAAGCCTATTAAAAGAAAACAAACAAATGGACAGATGAGAAAAGCCATGGCTAGAGGTACAACTGAAGCTGCTCATTTATGCCCTGTGGTAAGAAACAAGATTCTAGCAGCTTCTAGCCCTGCCCTTTATTAGCTGGGCAAGTTGTTTCACCTCTCTGACCCTCTATTTTTCTTTAATAATATTATCGTTGTTGTTGCTGGGAGCACAAATCTCTCGTAGAGACCCACCGTATGATGAGTCCATGCTTTTGTGTCAGAAAGCAAGGCCTCTTAGATGGGACCAAGATGCATCTCTGTTTCATCAAAGGGGAGTGCGTAACCCTGAGCAAATGATTTTCATCCCTATCAGTCGTCTTTTCCTCAGGCTTCTCAAAGTACTTGCAAAGAGCAACTTGTGCTGACACGTTTCAAGAAAAGATAGGTAATTGGAATTATGACTCTTATAGTTCACAGACAGGAAAGGTATGGGTCCAAGTGGTTAAGTGATTCTCCAAAGCTATAGGTCAGGGACAAAGCCAAAATTAGATTTCAATGCCAGTCTAAATTGAGGTTGAATCTTCAAAGTTACCGTATCAGACCCACAGTGTTTCCTGTTGCTTTCAGAAACCACCTCTGCAGAAAGCCAATGATCGATTGCATTGAATGGGATATTGAAGTGGTGCTGGTGAGGGATGGGGGCCATGATAGTGAGGAAGTTGGAAGAGTTAACCTAAATTAGACCCACTGAACTTCATCCTCAATTTTACTTTCCTCCTGTGGATCACTGAGCTCCCATGGGTGTGGGGTCTGGCAGCTGAGATGGGTGAATCCTCCAAGGAGAAGCCCGGGGGAAAATTTATGTTGGTGAAATTGATTTGACTTGCTCTGCTGTCCTCAGGGAAAGATGTCTGCCAAGCAGTAGACCATGGCTGTGAGCACATTTGTGTGAACAGTAATGAGTCGTACTTCTGCAAGTGCCGGGAAGGATTCCGGCTTGCCGAGGATGGGAAGCACTGCCGAAGTAAGTGGCCTCCAGGTAGAGATGACTTCTTCCATCTGCAGGACTCGGACACTTAGATAACTTCATTCCGTATTTAAAATCTTCTACCTATTGTTACAAGTTCCTGCCTTGGGTGCTCTGATAGTGTTTGCTAGTGACCCATGCAGGAGACCCTTAGTTCTTCAGGACTTTCTCAGTCAAGGTCACGAGTTGTCAGGCTCTTTGCGTCTCTCCGTTTTCTCCCAGTTGCTGGCCCTTGCACAACCATTGTATGGATGTCCAGAGCCTCCCACAGAGCCTGGCTAGTCATTGGACAGAATTAGAATCTCTGCCAGCAATTACTATGAGGATCAAAGGATAATTACAGTGCTTTTTCTTCTTGGAAGACCTTATAAGTAAGGGTAGAGGGTGGGAGAGGGACTAAGGGATTTTTCTGTGGGTTTTATTTATCCATTTTTGCTATTGTTTGCCTCTGTAGGTCTGTCTGAGCGAATTCTGAGAGTTTACTTAGAAGGTGCATTAGGTTTCCTGGAGAAACAGAACCTATAGGTTGTGTGTGTGTGTGTGTGTGTGTGTGTGTGTGTGCATGCGTGCGCGCGCGTGTCTATATACAGAGATAGACATGGAGATAGAGGCAGATGGACAGAGAGAAAATCTGTAGGGCAAGCCAACAATCTGGAGACCCAGGAAGAGCTGATGTGGCAGTTCTCATCCAAAGGTAGTCTGGAAGCAGGATCCCTTCTTCCTTGGGGTGGTGGTGGGGGATTCAGTCTTCTGCTCTGAAGGCCTCCAAGTGTTGGATGAGGCCAGCTCTATGGAGTGTGCTCTCCTTCACTCAAAGTCTAATGACTGAAATGTTAACTCATCTAAAAAATACCTTCACAACAGCATCTAGATTGGTGTTTGACCAAAGAGGTGGGCACCATAGCCTAGGCAAGTGATATATAAAATTAACTATCACAGCGCCCAAAAAAAGAGACAGATGGGACACATGAGCTTGGTGAAGTGGGCATTAGAAGAGCACAGGGCAAGGATTTTTCCCCACTGGGGGATTCTGAGCTATTAGTCCCTATTTGGGCATTGGGCAGGGGGTGTTGGTGTTGAAATTGTACTTGCTTTTGTTGACACTCTGCTCTAATGGGCAGGATGGCTCTTTTTTAGTTAAGGCAAAATCAGTTCATTTGCTTTTCAGGTTGATTTTGGGGCATCACCTCAGAGACTCCTTTGACGTAACTTGGGACATCCCACATGTCAACAAAGCTGGCTTGAGTGGAGCTCACTGTCCTCATTCCTCCACCAGGACGAGGGGCTCCTACCTTTAGTGAGATGTTCTGTTTGAACAACTGAGTTCCAGGATGCTGGCGGGACCCTGGCCTAACGCTGCAGATCTGCCTGCACAGCCCTGTTTTACCGTCACACTATAGCATTCCCTCAGTGGAGGTCATGCCTGCGGTTCTGCCCGTTGTGTCTGCCCCAGCTGAATGTTCATGATTTTATTTCTATGAACGCACGTGTACACATGGGTGCCATTTATCCACACAATGTATATTTTGCTCAGCAAATTGAGCTATTGTACACCAGGCACAACCTCTGGAATTTGATTACTAGACCAATTACCACCCTTCCCACTTCTAGGGGGATCTGTAGTTACCAATCCCAACTTTATAGGAATCTTCTCCTTTGAGGGAGCTAATGACAGAAGAGAGCCATAGGCTTTCATGTGATGGGGGAGGAGCACACGGGAGACGCGTGTCTCAGCTCTGCCATCAACTTACTGCATGGCCTCAGGTGACTCGTGACATGTTTTGAGTTTCTTCATGTATACACTGGGTATAATTATTCCTGTTTTCGTCTTCTCACAGCATATTGTTAAGATTGGAGGGCCGTAACTACTCTGGAGCATTTAAATTACCTCACACATGAGAAATGTCTGTTAATTGAAACTGGAGTGTTTGGGACATCAATGGGAAAAAAATCAGTAGCTTGGGAAAATCAAACCCCAAAGCAACATCAAATAATTCTAGAAATTAATAAGAAATACGGGATACCCAATCATCCATCTCACCACTCCGGCTTGTGGAGGCTGGGGCTTTCTGAGAGGAGTTTCTCCTTTCCCATGCCCCGTCCTGAGTATTAGAATGAAAAAAAAAAAGGGCATATTATAAAAGAAAGTTTAAACAGAGATGGGTTTTTTAAAAAATGGATTAATTCCTTGATCTGTCCTGACATGACCACTCAGTCCGGCTCATTCCTGCACAGACGGAGTTGCTCATCTCCCTATGTTTCCCTCAGGGAAGGATATCTGCAAGTCGACCTACCATGGCTGCGAACACATTTGTGTTAATCGTGGCCACTCCTACATCTGCAAATGCTCAGAGGGATTTGTTCTAGCTGAGGATGGAAGACGGTGCAAGAGTAAGTGATCTGAGCTGGGCTTTCTGCTTGAATTTGGCTTGGGAGCAACCGCTCTTTGGAGTATTTTCAGGAAACAAATCCCTCACCTCTGCTTCTCCCTTCATGGAGCTTAACTGAGGCACCTGTGGAAAAACTTTTAGTTTTAGTTGACAGTAAGTTCATTATGTGCCAAAAGGCTGGAGTGATCTTAGACTGAATACGCATATCTGGAATGAGAGAGGCAAAATTTGTCCTCTGCTCTGTACTGGAGAATTACATTCAGTCTGAGCATTGCATTTTAGGAAAAGAGAGATCTACGTTTAAACACTAAAAAAAAAAAAAAAAGCCTTCCAAAGTAGCAGAAAAAAATCTTAAGTAAATTATTTAGTAATCTCAGAGTAGAGAAGACCTTTCTAAACGTGACATGAAACATAAAAACCATTTTTACTTTTATTTTATGTTTTTAAGATTTTACTTATTTGTCAGCTAGAGACAGAGTTCAAGCAGGGGGAGCGGCAGGCAGAGGGAGAAGCAGGCTCCCCACTGAGCAAGGATCCTGATGCGGGACTCAGTCCCAGGACCCCGGGATCATGACCTGAGCCAAAGACAGATGCTTAACAACTAAGCCACCCAGGCATCCCAAAAACCTTTTTTTTAAGGATTTTATTTATTATTTATTTGACAGACAAGAGATCACAAGTAGGCAGAGAGGCAGGCAGGGTGGGGGGGGAGGAAGCAGGCTCCCTGCTGAGCAGAGAGCCCGATGCGGGACTCGATCCCAGGACCCTGAGATCATGACCTGAGCTGAAGGCAGAGGCTTTAACCCACTGAGCCACCCAGGCGCCCCCCAAAAACCATTTTTAAAAAAGAGAAAATGTCTACTAGGAGATTAAAGCTATGATATCTTTTTTTAAAACCTATTATCAGAGATCAAAAAGGTTGATTATTCCTTAGGTTGACAAAGGTATATTGTAATAGACACTTAATACATTTATTACTAGGTGTCTGAATCAGTACAGCCTTGAGGAAGGCAGTTTGGCAATTTTTAAAGGCAATTCCACTTCTATTTGTATTATCTAAATATATAGATACACACACATACATACATACGTATATCCTTTTGTAATGTTTAAATTCTGTTCCATGTGCATGCATTATTTTTTAGAAAAAAAATATTTAAAGAAAAAGGACAATGACAAGCAAGATTTAAGAAGTTCAGCACGATGTCAAATGAAAAATGAAGGAAGAAACTGAGGATCTTTGTAGAAAAAGACTCGAGGTACCATTCAAATACCAAAGTGACAGTCACCTCATTGGTGATTTATAGAACAGCGTTGGGGAAGGAGAGAACAGTGGGGAGAAACTGCAGCTCAGCATGAGGACAAAGACACTTTCAGGGAAGCTGTGTGATTAGTTGGTTAAAATCATGAACTTCGGGTCAGACGGACCTGGACTTCAACCCCTGTTCATACTACCTGTGTGACCTTGGACAAATTATTTCCCTTCTCTGAGTCTCAGTTTCTTCATCTATAATCTGAGGACAATGCCTCACAGAATCGTCATGAGGATTAAAGGAGATCGTGTATTTAAAGGTGCTTAGCCCAATGCTGGCACATTACCAACCATTCGCCAAACAGTAGCTCTTGTAACGAGCAACAGCAGACATGTCCAGAGACAGGGCTTTAACGGGGAGGTGATGAGCTCTCCATCAGGAGAGGTGTTCAAGGCCAGGCTGAATGGCTACTGCGTAAGGATGTTATAAGGATATAAGCAACAGGAGGGCAGCACTAATGACCTTCAAAGGTCTTGTCCAGCCCTGAAATGGGGGACCTCTTTGAAAATGAAGTTCCAAAGGCAAATCACAGCCCCACTTGCAGTCTCCTTGACTTAACGATGAAAAGAAAATGCCCAAGTACGGTTGGACAACCCTCTGCAAACAAGTAGCCCTCAAGGAAGCTATCATTCTTCCTGGGTCTGGGAGCAGAAGTCTGGTCCTTCTGGCCCTGAAGTTCTTCCACTCCCTCCAGCATCCTTCTTTCCTGGAGAAGCCTTTTGTGCCTCTCTCTCTGCATAGAGGCTGCAAGGACTGATTTTGTTCTGTAAGAAAAGAGTGTTGGGGGAAGAACTACTGCTGGAAAATTATTCCAGTATTTCTGCAGGCTGCTGGAGAGTCATGTGTGTGCCGCCTGAGTCTTAAATTTTTATTCTTTTGATTCAAGAACAGGCTATGAATGTAAATGAAGTGGAGACTTGGCCTTTTCCTCTTTTGCTAATAAACAATAAGTTGAGTAACAGGAACAAGCACTTAATGGGGTAAGAGAAGAATTCAACCCCCAGCAACACACACACACACACACACACACACACACACACACACACACACGCATTAGCATATCATTTGTTTTTGTGTGTCCTTACTTGCTTGTATTATTGTGCTCCACTTTCCAAAATCAGACAACTGCTTGATACAGAAAAGAGAACGTTATATTGCGTACCGTAGACCGTTGGAAATGAGATAATTCATTTGGGATCTGTAAATTCTTTTATGCAGCCCTAAATAACAAAAAGTCTGTCCACACCCAGATTGCCTAAGTATTCACACAGGGCTTTCCTGTCAGTGGTCCAAGCTGCCTGAAGAGCTTCCGTATAGAGAATTCCCAGTAAAGGGGTGCCTGGGTGGCTCAGTCATTAAGCGTCTGCCTTTGGCTCAGGTCATGATCCCAGGGTCCTGGAATAGAGCCCTGCACTGGGCTCCCTGCTCAGCGGAGAGTCTTTTTCTCCCTCTCCTGCTCCGCCTGCTTATGTTCCCTCTCTCACTGTGTCTCTCTCTGTCAAACAAATACATTTTTAAAAATCTTAAAAAAAAAAAAATTCCCAGCAATGATTCATTTCTAAGTTTGAATGGGTCAGTGAGGTGTTTACAGGTACGGCACCCAAAGGGCACCACCTCCTTCACTTACTCCGTCCACAAGTGTTTGCTGAACAACTATTGTGTGCCAGGTATGGGGGGAAAGAAGTGGTCCTTGCTGAGGAGAAGCTGGCAGAGCAGATAGAAGGACACATAACCAGGTAGCTGGTGGGCGGTGCGGAGGGCTAACCGACTCTGCGGGGCTGGAAGCTACGGCATGTCAGGGATTTTGCCTCGGTCCCTATTGCCGTCCTGCCGTGCCCGCTGCCTGGCGTGAAGCAGGTGCTCAAGAAGCCAGTTTTTTGTCGAATAAATTAGTAGTTGTTAGGAAGACACAGAGAGTAACGAATATCAGCTCAGTGACTAGGAAATTTCGCTGGAAGAGATGACGGATTTAAGAATTTAAGAATTTCCTTGTCGGCCGTCTGTCAGAATGCCAGCCCTGGGGTGATGTTACCCTCCTGGAGGGAAGTTGTAGGAATCTTTTGGGTGCTGTCAGACCCTACAGTGTACTCTACCCACAGCCCCTCCCAGACTTGGCTGTCAGTGACCCAGAGTACAGTGTGGGCCTGGTTTCCCTGACAGTTTGTACCTCTGTCGTGTGATTTTGCTTGTGAGGAATATTCTTTTTATCAATTTAACAAGCCACCAGGAAGGCAAATGAGAAAATTACTATGGATTGTGACTCTCTGAGCCCCTTCTGTCCATCCTGTGTCTGATCTGAGGAACCCAGGGGGTTCTCCGAAGGGGTCCTGCCTCCCACTGAAGCACGCTTGTCTCCTACTCCAAGTGCGTTTTGACCACTTGGCCATCTCAACTGTCCTTTCCTTCCTGTAGGATGCACTGAAGGCCCGATCGACCTGGTCTTTGTGATCGATGGATCCAAGAGCCTTGGAGAAGAGAATTTTGAGATTGTGAAGCAGTTTGTCACCGGCATCATAGATTCCCTGGCGGTGTCCCCGAAAGCCGCGCGAGTGGGGCTGCTCCAGTATTCCACGCAGGTCCGCACAGAGTTTACCCTGAGGAACTTCAGCTCGGCCAAGGACATGAAGAAAGCCGTGGCCCACATGAAGTACATGGGCAAGGGCTCCATGACGGGGCTGGCTCTGAAACACATGTTTGAGAGAAGTTTTACCCAAGTGGAAGGGGCCAGACCTCTCTCCACACGGGTGCCCAGAGTGGCCATCGTGTTCACGGATGGACGGGCTCAGGATGACGTCTCAGAGTGGGCCAGTAAAGCCCAGGCCAACGGTAATAAGGGGTAGAGGTGTGATGCATGTCACTCCAGGGTCAGGGTTCTTAGAGTCACTGGGTGGCCAGGCGGTGAGTGAGAGATGCCCTGAGCTTTGGGAGAGGCTGCCGGTCAAGCTTGGATACACCTTTCCTGCACTGCCCCCTAGAGGCCATGATGGGACCCCCGCGTAGTCTACGCCTACCACACCCGAGCGGTCTCTGGCCATTTCCTGGCCAGTGTGGGACCTCCAGTGGACAGGAGCGACTCTGCACGCCTTAAGACAGCAAACACCCTTGTGTTTGTAGGAGGCAAAAGTTAGCTTTTGAGAAAGTCAAAATGTTGGGAGAGAGCATGACTCAGTTGTTACTCAGGAAAGCAAAGCCTGTTCTCCGATGTTTTCTGGACTCATGGATGATGTGGGGGAGGGGAGGACTGGAAGTTACTTTAGTTGTGCCTAGATGCAAAGTGTGGCGGAGGAGCTGTGGCCCCCAGATAAAGGAAACCTCAAAGCTAGGATGGTTGGTAGAGCTAGAGGAAGGCGAAGTGACTGGATTCCTTGGGGGAAATGAGAAAATTTGACGTCTTGAAGCAGTTTGCTTCAAGTTTGCTTGAAAGCCACTTTCTTCAAGAACTTGTTGAGGGTACATTACTTTAGCAACTGCTGTAAGCGGGGAGAAGGTATGCAGACCAGGGCTTCGTCTCAGGTGTTATGGGCCTAGTACCTAGACCAGGCCTGGCACGTAGTCCATGTGTGACTAATACTTGAGAGTAAATGAACAAGGAGAGAAAGTACTAGCAATCCTATTAGTGGACTCCGTCCCTCCTCACAGAAAGGCTGGCTCACACTGACATTCAAACACTCTTTGTAATGGAGGCCATTTTATTGTCATTGTGTACCTCACGGATTGACACCTTTTCCTCTAGCCCAATAGAATAGTAGCCAAAAAGTATCCTGTCCTGAATCCTCTGAGTGAACTGTAAAAATAGCCTGAGAACGCATATCAAACCCATGAACCCCTCTAGCCTGCATTTTTAAAGTGTACTGGGAGAAGTATCTTGTCTCCAAAGACAGTATCTTGTCTCCTTTTATTTGCCTCATTGAGACTGGTCTACCTTCCTCTTTCCCCCATTTAGATTTCCACCAATCACCCAACGGCAGGGCGTAGGAGAAACTGATGTTTATTTGGTTCTAAAATCAACAAAATTTACCTGAAGTGACATCCTCTGATGAATTTAATTAATGAATTCAATATAATTCAAATGAGTTATATCATGCTTAGCTAATACAATCTTAAAATAGTAATTATCCTTTTTAGGAAGTTTGCATGAAGTCACTGGGCTCCCGGACAAATATGTTGAACTTGCCAGTAGACCCTACGCAGACTTAGAACAAGGCATAACTCTTGCCCCTTGGCTTAAAGAACCACTTTTATGTGTATTTTTTTAATCCAGCCTAATGAATTAGCCAGAACAAGATATCAAGGCTAAAAAATGTTGAAAATGAAGGAGAATTTAAGTTCTTACTGTGTTTTGCTTTCAAGTGGAGCATATATGGAGGAAGGGAGTCTAATGATTTCTGTTGTTTAGAAAAGGTTTTGGAGCAATCTCATATCCCTGTTGATATCTAAGGTTGGTACTTGGGTTTATTCCTTCTGTCTGACATGGAGGATTTCCCGGGGTCTGCAGATTTTCCATTTCAGCTCAGCACCTCCTCATAAAGCTTTGTCCTTTCAAGAGAAGGAGGTAGAATGCACCTTCCCCTGCACACCCCCCGCCCCATCATTAAAGGTTCCTATCCTGTACCTTTGAGAAGTAGAAACTAGGTTAGAAGGTCATAAATTGACCTGCTTCTTGGAATTCTCCCAGAAGAGATTCCCATTTAATAAGTCATAAGATACTGCTCTTTTCTACTTTATCCCCAAGGCTAATTCAGGCAGAAGTTGAAGATTTGTTCAATGACCTTGCCCAGAGCTGAGCAACAGGTTGGTGGTCTAGCTCCCAACCTCCCCTAGTGCCTCACCTTTCCCTCATTGGAACCCCTTCTTTTGTTCATAGGGCCGAAATAAAAATGGCAGAAAGATAAAGGGAGGTTGACCTGGACCCCTCAAGTCACCCGCGTAACATGCACCTGGCTTTAGGTACGGTACATGCAACTTCCAGACCCTGGGAACATAGCTCTAACTACCTTCTTCTTCATTTGCTCTGCAACGTAGGCATAACTATGTATGCTGTTGGGGTAGGAAAAGCCATTGAGGAAGAACTACAAGAGATTGCCTCTGAGCCCACGGACAAGCATCTCTTCTATGCCGAAGATTTCAGCACGATGGGAGAGATAAGCCAAAAACTAAAGAAGGGCATATGTGAAGGTACTGTAGTTGACCTCAAGGAGAGCAGCTATGAACCCTTGGAGGAGCAATTCTCAACCTGCTCCTCCCAAGTGCTCAAAAAAGTGCCTCCCTGGTGTTTGGGGCCAGTAATGTCTGGAAACACTATGCCCAAAAAGGGGAACAGGAGAGAGAAGACGGAATTCACAGCTAGCATTACGTGAGCGCTTGCTCTGGGCTTGGCAGTGTGATCAATCTTTTGACACACGAGCACAGTTCATCCCCACAAAAGCCCTCTAGAAACAAACATTGAGCTAAGACACAACCATTATACACAGCACAGAGCTGAGGTGCCATTTTAGGAGATGCCTGTAATTGGACTGGAAAGGGAAGGTAATCCTTTCAAATGTAAGGAACACCTTGCTGCAAGGAGTGGTTCTTCTGTTTACAGAACACAAGCCAGCCCTTTAGAACCTCCATTTTGTTCTGTCCCAGAGCTCTTCGTGCTGATCTCACTGTGCCAGGACAGGTAGAGGAGCTCTGCCCTGGCTCGCTACTCCTGCCCCAGGTTCGGTCACCAGCCAAACCCCAAGCTAAGTGATGTGTTTCACTCCTCTGAAGGAAAGAGTGACAAGAGGGAGGGGGATGGGGCGAGAGGGCCTTTCTAATGCCCAGGAGAGAAGATTTCACCTCTAGGCTGTTTCCTTCAGCTGAAATGCCTCTTAGAGGGGGTCCCCCTGCAGTTTTAGTCCTTGGCCAACGTGACCTTTTTTCCCACCCCAACTTCTAGGTATGGAATTTATGAGGGCATTCTTAAGTAAGATGCACTTAAGGGGTCCAGGTTTCTCTTACTAGAGAATGTCCCTAGCGTGGTCTTGGATTACCCTGGAAACCAATTGCTTTTTGAAACTGGTGTTACCAAATAAAACTGAAACACCCTGGGTGACAGCAGGTAGGTGGGGAACTGGTCTGGGACGTTCCCTAAGGAACACACATGCACGCAGACGACTGTCACTCCCTTTGGTCATCTTTTCCCCCTCAGCTCTCGAAGACTCTGATGGAAGTCAGGACTCCCCTGCAGAGGAACTGCCAAAGAGGGTCCATGAGCCAACAGGTAAAATTAAAAAAAGCCAACAGGTAAATTTTAAAAAGCAGTGTTTCTAGAACTTTTGGTGGATGCTTCCACCATGATTTCCCTCAGACAAAATTCATAAAAAGTGAGTCAGTAAGATTTGAATTATGCCAACTATGGATTTTTTTCCTCGATCAGATAGGAAACATTTACTCTATACTTTAAGCCATATTTGGTAATAGCCTCTCTCTACTGACAGTCTTCGGCCACAGTATGTCCCAAAGTAGAGCTGTGTGCCACAGCTAGGAATACTAAGTACCTTACTTTGACCACTGACGGCTGTTATAATCACAACCATGTAAAGCAGGTTTGACTTCAGTTTTCTTTCTCTTTACAGAATCTGAGCCAGTCACCATAAATATCCGAGACCTACTTTCCTGTTCTAATTTTGCAGTGCAACATCGATATCTGTTTGAAGAAGACAGTGTTTCACAGTCCACACAAAAACTTTTCCATTCAACAAAATCTCCAGGTAATTCCAAATACAGTATTGCTTCCAGTGGCTCGATACCAGCCTCTTAGCTTGCCGACACTTAGTTGCAAGGAGGAAAGGAAAGGGGGAAAGAGAGGGGCTTCAGTAAAATGAGAACTAGAAAAATTAGCTGAAAGAAATGGGAGTAGCCTTCCCTGCAGTCCACACTAGCGGCAGCTCTGAGTGTTGGAAATCCATGCAGCCCTCTCCTGGAATTTATTGGATCTGGCCGTGTGGAAAAAGTTGAACATTTCTTTCATTTTGGTTTCTTCCCTGTGCTGATTCAGTCCTATTATTATGCATCTGGGAAGTCTGGTGGGTTATAGAGGTGAGTGAACACTTTTCATGTGCTTTCTCAGGAAGTCCTTTGGGAGAAAAACACGATCAATGCAAATGTGAAAACCTTATCATGTTCCAGAACCTTGCAAATGAAGAAGTGAGAAAGTTAACACAGCGCTATATCCTTTTCTAATACTGTGCTTGTCTGTGTGGTATGAAGAATTTCACCAAACTTCACAGATACTATCTGTTGGTATGTATTAAATGAAGTCATTTCCATAAATCCATGAGTACTGAACTCTAGAAAGGCTTTTTTCTTAAGCAACCTGCTAGGTGTTTGAACATCAAGGGCAAGCCAAGCTTCATGGCAAGCTTGGGTCAAGAACTTGGTTGCTCTCTGCCGTTCTGGGGTTCAGCATTTGAGGCCAGCCAGTCAGTATGCAAAGTAAGAGAAGACAGAGTTAAAATTTAACTCCCTCTCTGCTGGGAGGAAAAGGATCTGTACCAGGTCTGATGTCCATCAAAGGTATGGTAAGTCTCGGCAAAGAATGTAGAATGATGAAGTTTCAAACTCCCATCTAAATTCCAAATCTTTCTTTCGGCCACAGTTGGTAAGCATGTAGTTTCTAGAGGACTGGGGTTTTTTGTTTGTTTGGCAGCTGGGATCTTTTTATATCAGCACTCTAAGATGAAACATTTTATCAAGGGAACAGCAGACTCAATGATTCATTAAACCAATATTACGCATAAAAGGAATGCTTTGAGATAATGGAGAAATCAGGATTCAGTGTTTTTATATCGCCAGTTGCTCTGAACTTAAAATTACAGTAAGCTTACTAAAGCTGGCTCATCTCTATCTCAACATGCATCAACTAGCCTATAGGGAGAAGGTTGAATTCTGAACTCTCTCTTTGCCAATGGGTTTATATAATAAGGAACAGATGTAGCAATTCCCTTTCTGAAAGCTGGAAATCTGTTCCCCTAAGGAAAATAATCTGACAGTGGTTAATGTAGGTGATGAATCCAGGCTCTCATTCTGCCAGGGGGACTGGTGGAGGGTATTAAGGAGCTTACATGAGAACAAATGCTTGTTCTAATGCCCCTCGCCTCTCTCCTTTCCCACCACACTTCTGAGGGTCTGCTTCACGAGAGACTAAGGAAGTTATCTGTAAAGGAGCATAGGTCAGAAGTCTTCAATGCTGCTACCCTTTGGCCATTATCTGGCATCATGGGTGAAAACTCTCCCATCTCTTTACTCTCGTGACATCATCTCTTACTAAAACCCAATTCTCTTTACTGTATTCCCCAAATTGTCACTTCTGGCTCCTAAAGGTATGTTACAGCAAACTAATTTATAAGCAACACAGGTGTGAGTAAAATTTAAAAAACATTTTTAAAAGGGATGGCTTGGTTGGTTAAGCCTCTGACTCGATTTTGACTCAGATGATGATGTGAAAGTTGTGAGATTGAGCCCCACGTCAGGCTCTGTGTTGAGGGTGGAGCCTGCTTGGGATTCTCTTTCCCTCTCCCCCCACCTCCCCCCATTCCCCCTCACACACATTCTCTCAAAAAAAATTAAAAAAATTTTTTTTTTTTTTGGTAACTGAACTACTTTGCTTTGATGTTGAAGTATTTAACCTGAAGGGGATTTGTAGTCTTTTTTCTAAGATTTTATTTATTTGGGGTGCCTGGGTAGCTCAGTGGGTTACAGCCTCTGCCAGGGTCCTGGGATTGAGCCCCACATCCCATCAGGCTCTCTGTTCCACGGGGAGCCTGCTTCCCCCCCCCCCGCCTACTTGTGATCTCTGTCAAATAAAAAAAAAAATAAGTAAATCTTTAAAAAAAAAAAAAAAAAAAGATTTTATTTGAGAAAGAACACAACCAGGCAGAACATCAGGCAGAAGGACAAGCGGACTCCCCACTGAGCAGGGAGCCCAATCTGGGGCTTAGCGTGGGACATGATCCCAGGACCCTGGGATCATGACCTGAGCCGAAGGCAGACACTTAACTGATAGAGTCACCCAGATGCCCCAAGAGATTCATAGTCTTGATAGCATGCGTTAAATGGCTTACTATAAACCTTCAATCAGAGTTAAAAAATTTTTCTAAATGGGGAAAACCAAAGGTTTGTATCTTTGAGGACAAATTTTTACATAGCTACATCAAATTGTATTTGATTGTAAATAAAAATAGACAATTCAGATTCCTCTTCCTTAATTTGAAATTTACTAGAAGAAATGACACAAAGGATGGAAGCCCTGGAAAACCGCCTGAGATACAGATGAAGATATGAAATGCGCTATGTATTTGTATGTCATTGTATCAAATGTTACAATGAAAGCAGCTTGAGCCCCAAAGCTCAGGCTATTGAGTCTAAAAAGTTGTAAAGTAAAACAGGACTAGTACTTAGAAAGCTGGTTTGCTATAGAACACAAAGGCAAAGGTACAACACTAACTTGTATAAATTTGAGAAAAAGTCCTTCAGAACCCTAAAATGAGATTATCAAGTGAGAATAAATAAGCTATGCAAGCTATTCTGTAACATACTGTGGACATGATTTGCTTTTTACCTTATCCTGCCTTAGTGTTGTGATCTCATTTGACTAAATTAGTTTGCGGTCTTACTTCTGTAGAACACTGGCCATAGGAAGACTATTTTTTTGTATTGGACTTTTATCTTGATATATGTATATGGATGTATGCATAAATTCATAAAACATATGTACTTGAATAAGTTGGATTTTTTTAATACAGTATTAAAATTCACCACTTCAGAGAATGGTATTCTGCGTAAAATTCCTAGTTAACTTTAAATGCAAAGTATGGTTATGTGGGAAATGGTCAATATGCATTTGAAAAAAACCTCGACTCTCACTGGCAATCTGAAAAACCCAAGTTAAAACAATCAGCTTGGCAAAAATTAGTGCCGGACTACAGTGTTGGCAAGGATGAAGAAAATGGGGCTCTTGTACACTAGTGAAAATGCAAATAGGCGTACTCTTTGGAGTATAATCTGTCAAAACCTAGTAAAACTGAAAAGGCACACCAGCCTGCACTCTAGCAACTGCGCTCACAGGCATCTAACTAGAGGCCTTCAGCACATACACACAAGGAGACCCGTACAAGAACATTAGTTGAGTTTATAAATCACCAGTTGGAAATAACCTAAATCATCATCAGAAAGGGAACTGATAAAATTATGATGTGATCCCTACCTCAGAAATACCATAGAACATTTAAAAGGGAAGGCACTAGACCTACATGCACACATAATAAAACTCAAAGCTGAATTTTAAAAAGCCAAAGGTAGGCGCGCCTGGGTGGCTTGGTGGGTCAAAGACTCTGCCTTTGGCTCGTGATCCCAGGGTCCTGGAATCGAGCCCCGCGTCGGGTGCTCTGCTCAGCAGGGAGCCTGCTTCCCCCTCTCTGCCTGCTTCTCTGCCTACTTGTGATGTCTCTGTCAAATAAATAAGTAAAATCTTTAAAGTAAAAAAAAAAAGCCAAAGGTAGGGGCACCTGAGTGGCTCAGTCAGTTGGGCATCTGACTCTTGGTTTCAGCTCAGGTCATGATTCATGATCTTGGGGTCCTGGGATGGGTGTTAGTGTGGCTCCATGCTCAGCGGGGAGTCTGCCTAAGGATTCCTTCTCCCTCTGCCCCCCACCCTCCTCCCATAATCTCTAACCAAAAAAAAAAAAAAAAAAAAAAAGACCCCCAAAATGACATCTTTCCCATGGAAGCTACTGTATTTAAGGCCAAGTGATACTTTTTAAACAGAACACTTTCAGTAAGCTTGTTTAAATATTTCAAGATGAGTGTTTTCATCAGAATGTCCTCCCAAAGGGCACTGTGGTAGAGTGAGAACATCTCCTTCGTCTATCTTCAATCTTATCTGAAAAATCATCTGATTTTCTCCAAATATAAAAGTTGCAATTCAAAGTATTAAACCTTGTATTTGTATTTGAGTCACTCAATTGGTCCTGAACAGGCTTTTGCTAGTAAGTACTGACCTGGGTTGGCATTACCTTCTGAGATGTACTCCCAGTTAAGGCATTGTTTCCTTGGCTCAATTGTACTTCACTTTCTGTTGAGTCCCAGCTCCCCCTAGTGGCTCTAGACTGCACCCCCCCCACCCCTTAACTTTTAGCTATTAAATACATTTAATCAGTTTTTAAGTTTCTTCATGTTGGGGAGAACGCCTTCAAAGGAAACAAAGGCCCCCAACCAATCAAATTTACATATTCATCCCAGATACTTACTTGAAGATAGTCTAAAATCTTAAGTATTTCTCCCTTTTCCTTGTTTGGCTCTATACAGGTCTTAGGTGTAAAAGTTTTGCATTCAGATTTATTGTGGTGACTTTTACAAAGCCTTGATTTCCTCATCTGTCAAATGGAACGAAGTATGATCTCACTGGATTGTCAGGAGAATTAAATGGCTTAATGTGTACATTACTTAGTAAAGTATCATTTCAGATACTCAATTATTAGCCATTATGTTTTTACTCTTCAGCAGTCCATGATGTCTGATACAAAGATGGTAATTTATGTATATGTTGAGTGAATGAATGAATGCTTTACTTACCTTAGCTCAGGAAAGTACTTTGGCAGATTCCTACTCCTTAATTCTCTTTTGAGGCGAACAGGTAGGAGGTAGTAAATTATAGTACATGTACATATGCTCAAGGCCTACTACCAAAACAAGATGAAGATGAGATTCTGGCCTAGAAAGTCACAAGCCTATCAAAGAGAATTAAGTAAATGTTTAAGCCCTAAAAGTCATTATTCATCCTGGTGTTTGAACTCATGTGATACAAAGTTGAGTCTGTCCTCTAGGGCCTTCCTTAGCTTAGTGAGAAACAGGTGTGATTAATGCCATAAAAAAGGTTCTATGGTAACTCAGAGGCACCCAGTCTGGACTGGAAGAGGATATTGGGGTAGGCCTGGAAAAGGAGGGCAACAGGAAAGGAAAGCAGATGCCACAGCAGACGGGGAGCCCAAGTGTGAAGGGGCAGTTGGAAATAAGATATGAAAGCAAAGAGAATTGTTTTCCATGGACCAGATCTTCCAAAAGGCCCAACTAATTGCATTTGAGACCAGCCTAGAGTATGGTTTCTTTTCTAAGTACGTTTTGCCCCTGCCATGATACCATACCAGTTGCAGTTAACACACTCCACAATAACCAAACTCTTCTTTGGGACATTTCTATCTCCAGACCTAACAGGTAGCTCAGCACAAGTATGCAACAAATCCAGCTGGCTGGAATTTCCTGCCATCTCCCGCGTACTAGAGCTTCCCAGCCAAACACATTACTTTGATTATAATCCGAAAATAACATTTAAAAATACCAACTTAGACGTTCCCAGATCTTCCTGGCCAGTAGTATTTTCTCTAATTCGGGAAGCATTTTAATGGCACTTCTTCACAGCTGTCCTAAGCCAGCATGAGTGAGGTTTAATCTCCTTTTCTCTAAACTTTAAATTCCTTTCTTCCTAAACAATGAGTACACAAAAAACACAGATAAAGGCAAAAGCTCAATGACCTTATAGTGTATTATCACTATACAGAAGCCTGAAGAAATCACAAAATTCCTAAAAGCCATCATTCTAAAATGCCTGCAGCCAAAAATCCTGCAACAGAATCATTACAAAGAAATGGTACACTGGTACCTGCGATACTGTATCCTCCAGAAACCACCCCTGAAGAAATTAAATTGTAACTTATCAACCTGGAGGGAAAAACAAACCAAAATTAACCCAAATCACTGCAAGCTCAATTTGAAAGGCAAAATTTACCAAGCAGAAAATAAGCATACAAAACTTCCTTAATCCAAAGACAAACAGTTCTCACAATGGTTGAACAGACTAATAACACTAGAGGCCAGCAACAGTCTGACCAAGCAATTCTTTTCAAGGACAAACTTCAAACATCTTAAACCACCTTGGGCATACTAGTCTCTGGATATGAAAATATGAGCACTTTAGAACGTTTAACAGATTTCCACAGCTCTGTGGCTCTTAACCAGGAGATGCTACTTTGAAAACATGGGGTAACATTTCGGGGTATCATTATAACATGGAAAACCATGAGAAATATCCTGCAGTATCCAGTCCTCCACAACAAAGAACTTTCCCATGGAAAAATGTTAGTGCTCCCAGATTGAGAAATACTAAGTTAACTGAACAATCAGTAAGAAAACTAGCTAGTAACAGCTATTCTTCAAATTTTATCTACAACCTCAGATTAACTTCAGACACAAATTAAAATCATGCAGTATTAACCCATTCCCTTTCCTATACAAAACTGGGAATTTCACCCACCTGTGGTTGTTCCATAGCTATTAAAAAAGGACTCTTGTGATTCCAAGTTCAGTAAATACTGGGACACGGACATTCTGTACAGTGTACTGATGGCATCTTCATCTCCTATGTCTCACTCATCTACTACTTGAACTGCCTACAAGCTAAGATCTTTGATTAAGATCTTAAGTCCAAAAGACAAGGTTAATTCTGACACAGCTGCAGCCTGAAAGCCCAGCACAGATGTGTAGAGTATACTTTACCAGCAATATTTGACTCCGTAAATCAAGATATTTTTTTTCCCAAATAACTCCTGAAAATGTCGCCAAGGAAATAAAAGAGGGTAAAGGGTTCCAGTCAGACATATTTGGAAGATATGGAATGCAGTTTCCCCAAAATCTGAACACCAAACACACTTCACAATGTATCTTCTAGGAATAAAATATAAAACAAACTTTGGGCAACTGTGGACTTAGCACTTATCGAAGACCTGAGATTCTTCTGAAGCACTCCAGGTACAGATCTTCTATCTCAACCACTGCACACCATAGGAAAAATCCTTCTTCGTTAAAGTTCAATACAACTTTTCTCAGACACACAAAATGTTGGGAGGGGAGCACATATCTCATTTTATCCTCTCTGCTACTCAAATCTGTAGATTTAAGCCGGATTACAAATTGCAATTCTGGTTAAATTCTACACATTGATCTTTGCTGCTTCTCAAACATACTCAAATATAAAATGCCAATAGTATCAACACTTTTAAAAGACTGGAATCTTTAAAAAAATCTGTAAAGGAAAGGAACTTTGCACTCCCTTTACAAAAAGGAAAACAAACACTGGGACATATAGTTCTTAACCCAAAAGTCTTGCCACCACATCTAACTGCCTTATCCTCTCAAATCCCATCTTCAGAAAGGGTATGGAAACAAAAAGATATAAAGGAAAAAACTGCAACGAATACTGTGTTTTTAAAACAAGCTGTGGCCAGTTTTATTAAAGAAAAATTCTGCGTGATTTACTTTTCACCAGTCTGTTCTGGCATGCTTCTAATGATATCAGAATCACCTAAAAAATAAAACACAATAGTTTTACAATTCATTTAATCACAACTGGTAATCATCAAATTAGCAATGGTTATCTATAAAAGTTCTGACACTAGCTTTGCTGTCATTTCTCAAGATATCAGGTACCTAGTCATAGGCATTTCCCATATAAGATACATCGTTATCAATCAGACGTGGTTTATCACCAGCATTGATAAAACCAGACCTAGGGAAAGAACTAGGTCTGGGGACACATGCATGGTCTTAATATAGCGAATGTTTAGCCTGCCCTGATTATTACAAAATCAGAACAGCGAGAATATTCGCAGTATTTTATGAATCAAAAACTTGTAAGTTCAAAATATAACATGATCTGTATTTGTAGGAACTTCTTTTCCTCAACTTAATTTTATCTGTTCTTAGG